TTTTATCTCCTTGGAAGAAAAGTACTCCACAAATCAAAGGTATCATTAGCATTGTTATTATTTTGCTATTGAAATCTCTTGAATTCACTCTGGATTATTCATGTGCTTTTTTTGGGTCTGCAATATAATACTGTCTAAGTCACCCCCACTGGGCTGAACAAAAATGAAAAATTGCATCTTCAGGCTTAATCCCTGGCTCCACCCGGTCTCCTGCTGGCCCTGGCTTCCACCAACACAGGCACTCGCCAGGCAGGGCTGCTCCTTGGTACTTTGCCTAGTTCACTGCTGCTATGCTCTGTGCCAGATCCTCCTTCCTGCACCCAAGGGGGCCCCCATGCCATCCTCTCAGTGCAGTGTTCAGACGCTGACCACACCCACACCCCCTTTCCCCTGGGGAGCTTCCTTTCCATTCTCAATAGATCTGGCTGATAATTGAGAGCTCCCTGCTGGATGGCAGGCACTGCAGCCATCCCCATACCCCACAGGCATGCCCTCATTTCCCCATCCAGAAAATTTGTGAAAGGAGTGGTCCCACATCCTTGGCAGTGGTGCTCTGACCTTCCAAGATAAAAGAAGAGATTCTTCCTCCCCTAGACAAGACACCACGCCACTGGGGTGCCAGTCAGGATCGCACTCTCTACTCTTGCTTGTCTTTTATTCTATGACATTCTGGGTAAGGATAAGGGTTCCCAGAGTTTTTGCTTACTCCCAGTTTCTTTTTCTGATCCTCCTCTGCCTCTTTATTTGGGGAACCCTTTCTGATGTGCTAGTGCCCTTTTCTATCCCTTCCTCAAGGTAGCCCTTGGCAAGTCCAAGCTTCTTGCAGTGGGTCCCCTCCTCCATCCTGTCACTCATCCCCTTGGCTCCTGTACCCTGGCCAGCTCCCCTCACACTATTTCACCCTCTGACTGTTTGATGCTCTTCTTTTTCCTTGGAGATTCAGGTTGCCCTGTACCTCTGCCATCCAGTGGCCACCTGGATCTTCTTCTGATGTGTCCTGCCAATTAGGAGACCAAGGAGATCCATTAAGGGGATGGATCCCAGATTAACCTTCAACTGGGGAATGTCTCTCACTGGTAAATGCAAGTTTCCTTTCATTCCAAATGTTCAGAGCAAAAAAAAGTCTCCTGGGTTGGGCAGAGTTGGTACCTTGCGTACCTCCCATCGCTAGGCAGGATGGATGGGATGCTCTGAGAATGCTAAGTGGAATGTCAGAGAGTGGGGAAAACACCTTTCCTAGTGCATGGGTAGTAGAGTTACCAAGTCTGCACTGCTGCACATCCCCCAAACTGCCTCAGAACTTAAGTAGGGACAAGCAGGGAGTCTTCAGTCCTGCTGAGACCCTATTCCTTCAAAGTCACCTAAAATGTGCATGTGCAGGGTGGATAGAATGAAACTGGAAGATTAAGGAGGACATAGAAGGAAATAGTTGTGGGTGAACTGAAGTGATAAAGGGAAAAATGTAGCAAGTTCTAAGTTTATGGATGACAAGGGAATCCATTCTTCTTCACCCAGGGGCAGAACATGCCGTTTCTCCACAGGAGGCAAATTGTACTGTGACATTATCCCTCTCTATACAAGGCTCGACCATCCTGACAGTTGAGGGAAGAGACATCCCCAGCAAGAGAGAAACATACAAACAGCATACACTGGCAGCTCTCCATCCCCCATCAGGAGCCACGTCCAGGGATGTTGGCAGGTCAGGAACAGAAGACTGTCACTTAGCTTTTCTATTGCCGCCTTAAGAAAGATAAAGAAACACGTAACCCTGATGTACACAAGAAACGTAAACTTTAGATATCAAGGACACAGTGCATTACTGTTAATTTCTGCTCTCTTTCAATGGTCATGGAACAAAGTAAAGGCGAACAAACATTCAACAAATCAGGAGGGCAGGGTAGTTAAGATGGACTTTAAGAATTTACCAGCATTGCTTGCTGTTAAAGGCATCAGAACACTAGGGTACTCAGGACCCTGGGAGCAGAACCATGAGGAAGAACTGCAATCCCCCAAATTCCAGGAAGACACATAGGTTCTTACTGGGAGAGTGCTGGGTAGCAGATGGCCATGTCACCACTATGCCAGATAAGGCTCTAACAAGACCCTTGTCCCCCTGTTCTGTCTTGAGTGAAGGACTGTCCTGAGCTTCTGCACATTTCCATGGGAAAGCATCTAGAAGGAGCAATGTGCAGGAGGCAGAGTACAGGCAGGTTTCTCTGGGTGGGGTGCCACTACTCAGTTAGGGGCCCACCACAGGAGCCATCTAGGGCCATTGGGCTAGTTCTCTCATGTCCTATAGAAAGTGGATCTGCTCTATTCAATAACTTGACCAATGCACAACAGTAAGTACAATGTAGCACTCAGAGATATAGGAAGAGGGTCAAATAGAACCTTTTGAAAATCTATAATACTCTGAACAACATCCATGTTTTTTAAAAAAATGCCCATGAGGACCAGAGAGATGGCTTAGCAGGTAAAAGTGCTTGCTGCCAAATTGGATGAATGAAGTTCTAGCCCCATGACCCACACGGTGGAAGGAGAAAACCAACTCTGTAAGTTGTCTTCTGACCACCATCTGTGTACCATTGCATGCCTGAATGTGAGCAGGCATGCACGCACACACATGCACACAAATGAAATACAAAAAAATTTTTAAATGTTCATGAATCAAGTCAAAATAAAAGGTATTCATATCATATTGCAATGAACCAATCAAACATTGCCCCTCTTAACCCTTAACTGCTATAGTGAGGCTTAGTGTATTCATGAAACCTAGTGTTCAAAGGAGGTCACTCATATTGCCTAGGTCCACTTTGCTCTCAGAGTCTTTCTTTGAGATTACTTTGGACTCTCGTGGACTATACATCTAATGTTTGGAAGAGTGGGCTTTGCTGGCCAAACTCAGAACACTTTAGGAATGAGGGGATGATATAAATTGCATGTTGCTGTGGTTTCTTCCTACTGTCCCTAGGGCTAAGAATGGATGGAAACAGAGCATTTAACCTCTGTAGGTAAATATTTAAAGATTCATACTGGCAGTGAAGAAATAGCTTGGTACTGAGAATGGAATAAGCACAGTAGAAGATGCACGCTGCAATGATTCAGACAGGCGGGGAGGCACTTAGACACCTATAGCCTTCTCCTGCCAATCCAGGGAAGTGCAGATCAAGCTTCTAAAAATACAAAAGACTGACTAAAACTTGCATGAGTCCTGTGTATGTGTGTGTGTGTGTGTGTGTGTGTGTGTGTGTGTGTGTGTTCCCCTC